CTAATTTGAGTACACAAGCTGAAAACGCGTTAAATTTAGACCGAGCATGGCTTTAATTGTCAGAAGAACAAGCCCATAAGTCCAGGTTGTCAGGCTGCGTACAGTACTCCCGAAAATTGCGCGTGAAGTTAAAAATGTCGCGTCGTGAACGCACACAATCGGGCATACCGTACCCGATTTAGTTACCCAAGTTTGAGTACGTTTGATAACCCGTGTACAGCTTTTGCACCCGGTTGATGTACGTTTCATCCTCAACCGCGACACAAGCTGTACGATTTGCACGCGTGCACGGGGAGAGGAAGGTCGGGGTGAGGCTTGCCACCGGGGGTAGCGGCCCGCCCGAATCCCGGCAGGTACATGCTCGTGCGGTCATGTGACTGTAGTTCACGCACTGAGTCACGTGGCCCTGCACCCCGTTGTGTGCATTTACGACCAACATAATTGAATCTTACGCGCAATTTTCGGGGGTACTGTATGCACCCTGACAACCTGAACTTATAATTCAATGGTCGGAAGAGACTGAAGTGAAACTAACCAGCCATCCAGAAGTTGAGCCGTTCCCATTGGCAATTCCACCATATCGGTTGCACCAGGTCATACCTATAGATGGTATCGGATTTGTCCCACGATGCGTGATATGGACTTTGCAGACAACGATCAGGTAACTGGCATCTCTTTTACGAATTTGATCTGAAATAATCATCGATTGCCACTTGAAAAGAATTTCATAACTGCTGGCTTGTTTGTAAATGGAGAACGAGAGCGGAGGATGGGGCAGGACGTCCGGGTTGCGGCGTCGCGGCGGAAGCGGCGCAAATGGATGTTGAGGTGGGGACTCCGCGAGGGATCACGGCTGCCATGTTTCGCCACGAAAATCTATGTACAGACCATCCCAGACCACCTAAGCATGTTTTATTAGAAGGCACGGTCCGCGATAAAAAGCCTAGGTGATTTTGCAGAAATGTGGAAGAAAATTCGCCAAGTGAACCGTCTATGAAGAGAAAATGCCAAAGGGAACGTTGGAAACGCATTCGTCAGGCCTCCTCTAGCCTCAAACAACTGTAGAGGTAAAAGACCGAAAAGACCGCGCGCTGGGACGATTCCCGTCGGCTGATTCCCAGTAATGAACCCTATGACTCTACAAGAATGCATCCACTCCATGATACTTGCCCGGGAGCATTACTTTTGGCTGGAAGGCCGACTTTGGAGGCGGAGTCTGGAGGCGGAGTCACTGGAAAAAGGGATGTACCACTGAAGCAACTTTGCGCCTTAATCCTTTACCGTACAACTTTCCGCCGCGAAACTGGCACAGGGTTGTCCACTCCGGACCGCACTACCTTCCGACCTCTTCCGTTTTCATAAGTCCATTCCTTGAAGAAAAAAAACCAAATTTTACACAATTATGCGAAATACTCACTCTATAGCGGAGCATATTGGGTAGACTGCCTATGAGTGCGATCACTGCTCCGAGGACGATCGCTATACAAGCAGCTGGATAGCCATTGCAATGTGGCAAACGGCTATGTGCATGACTACCTTTATAGAGTACTAGATACCTGCAACAGTATCCCAATAAATAGGGCCATTTGAGCAGTTCAAGGGCTATTGAAAACTGACCGCATTACTGCCATATTGACCGTAAACCATAGACTAGCACTATGAACAAATACGGAAAACATCGCATAAAATCTCGTGTAGACCATCCACACATACGAAAAGAACCATGGATGGCAGAGATCCACCTGAAATTGGCTCCTGTGTTACTGGACAAGAATGAGCTTAATTTTTTTTTTAATTTTTCTTGAATTTTTTCATTTATTTAGTTACATTTATTCTTGATTTAGTTTTAATCAAATTTGGAAATTAATTTCAAAATTTTCAATTGAAATTTTTTACTTATTTCTAATTTACTTATCATTCATTCGTTGACGATGGCTTCTAGGCATTTGAATCCATGAGAAAAGAGCAAACTCCTAATTTTTGAACTCAAATTAAACTGTTGAATTTTAATCCAAGAGAAAATTTGGGCGCACTTCGGCGACGGGACGGAGAGCGTTTCACACTTTTACGGCTTCACTTCTTCTGGTGTACAAGTCATAGTAAAACGTGTGATCTCCAGAAAAGGCTATCTACTTAGATGGGTCGACACAAATGAGAAGCGAAATGCCCCCCCCGGCGCCAAACTGCGCCCAAGTTTTCTACAATATTTTCAAAAGACGTTACAGAACTAGGGCACAGAGGGGCTACCAAAAAAACGCAACTGAGTCACTTGATGTCTGCTCGTCTGCGCCCTACCCATTAGAGAAAACGGCGTCAGTACCCGGTCTAAAGCTCTGAAAAAAGGTTGAAAGACAGAACATGGTAGGAAATGACGTGATATTGTCGCGCTACCCACCCGCCTTGGCTCAAACTACAATAAATACCCTTTCAGAGGAGAGTGCGTGTGAGGGGGGCGTTGATCGGAGCGCGACCAGAGCGACTTTTTCCACCAATTGATGTCAACTGGAAGGACTCGAAAGTTGGTGGAAAGGTTGCCTTATGGTTAGCTGTGCTCCCATCCACACCATCCCTTTCGCACGCCCTCTCGTTCGCAGAGAAAGCGATCGTACGTCCGTGAACAGATCGGTATCTGCCCAAGCATACCAGCCAATACATAGGTTCCCTCACCCAGGGTACAGCATCATGATGTGTGAAATGGTAGTGTAGGTACGACCCCCCCCCTTCCGAGAAAAAGGTGTCAGTACGACCCTCCCCCCCTTCCCCGACAACCTAAGTGCCAATTACCCACATTTTTCCAAGTCCAGTTTTTCAGCCAAAATTCTCCGGACGAGCGCAAGCGGGTATATAGTACACATGAAACAGGCAAAATCACGCGAAAAGTCAACAGCCGCAGAAAAAAAATTTGCCATTAGCAGGCAAATTCTCTCAAATGCACACACACGACCCCTGCCCCTCTCTCACATAAATACAATCCCCACTCCCAGCGGAAAAGTACGACTTCCTATATTGTTTCACATAAGCGAAGTACCCTGCCCCACCTCAGGGGAGAACATGGTAATGGGAGCGGAAACAGCTGAAAAGATTGGAATCCTAATGGGAACATTTACTGGTTATAATGTAGGCGAAAAACCTATCTTAAGAGACGAGCACGTGACCTGCAGACGCCCTCCCAAACCGAGCAGCGCCGATGAACTAGAAGGTTCAATCGGCGCTGCTCGGTTTGGGAGGGGCGTCTGCACTTTCGCTGGTTCCTTTTGCCAGTCATGTTAACTTGACTGGTCGGATTTTGGTGAAACCTGTAGACTCTTGAGAAGCAGCGAAATGGTACATGTGAGCCGCTTTGAATACAAGAATTTACAGGCTTTTACAAGGGGTCCCGCCGAGTACCGTCTGTAACCCTTCCCCCCCCCCTCGCCCTATAGTGATCGCCGCCGGATTAGTCAACGTTCACCAGCGATTAGATATGCCTCAACAACCAACCAAATACAGATGAACTAGGACTGAGCAAGGTTTCGCAAGCGCTCTTCTGAATCCCAGTGGGTTTTTGTGTGGAAATAGATTGGGGCCTAATTGCCGTTTGCACCCAGACAATGTCTGCTCGGATATTCGAATGAGTTTTTTCCGTTTAAACGTTGACGTCTGCAGTAGCGGCTAGAGATGATTACAGCTCGTTAGCCAGCATTTATCTCAAGCCATTAGCGAGTTTTTCCCTAATGAACATCTGAATGTTTACTTTGTGCAGCAGTTTATTGTTTATACTGCATTTGATTACAGAGAAGAGATGAAACGAGATGAAACTGCAAAGAAATGAGAACTTACATGTTTATAGAACAGATAAGTTGCCATAAGGGTTGCATCACAAATGGCTATACAAATCAAAAAACACATTGAACGGTGAACGTCGCATTGCTGGCCTGAAAGGTGGAAAATGTCTTGAGTTTTTTTTTTGAACTGACGCCGCTTTATTAAATTTTATTTTGAGGAATCCACGTTTGGCACGTGTTAGGCTGCAGCGCAAACGCACGCGATTTAGCGTGACGCGCACCTTCAAATCAAAATAACACACTCAAAGCATGCAACGGAAAAACGTCGCATGCGTGGCTCTATGCCCAAATGCGCAATAAGTAAGGGAGCAACAACCACTCTCGACACAAAAGCTGATTCATTTTTATGTAAGTTCCACTAGAATGACAAATTCTGAACTCAACCATTATCCCTGCAAGCGAGTGGGCGTATGAATGGACTTGAAGCGCAGCCAGGGCAGCCTTTTCCACCAATTGCTGTCGGGATCATAAAGACACCATTGGTGAAAGACAGCCCTAGCTGGTGGTCACAGTTCGACGTCTCCTCATATGCGCTTTTACAAGGATAATGCACTGTAACTGTTTCCCAGAAAGCAGGTTTTCCCGCCGGAAAAATCAGATCGATGTTTCTTCATGGGCGCGTCAAACTATTTAGAAGAGACTTGTTTGTCTTACCTTCGACTCAAAGAATTAGATTTTTAGGAACTGAATTTTTCGGTATTTTAGCAAATACGGTAGAACACTCACCGTAATAAAACGACTACAATGGCGATATTGGCGAACACTCCGACCACGCACAGAACACATAGAGGTATGAGTGAATCTGCGAGAAGACGTTGGTGAATGGAACGAGAATCTGCAAAGAAAAATTTGATTGATTTGTAAAAAATTATTTCATTTTTGGAAATTTACTGAATCTTTGTCAGTCTATAAACTATGCGTCGATTCTTCGAACATTAATGCTGCGTTTTTTCAATGTGGGTCAGGAGATCCGAATTTTGATGACGTGCAGCAATTGGCTCGGCGTAAATTTTCCCATTGGTTGACTCTTCCTACTGCAACACTCTTGGCAAAGCCATTTTCTCTCTTATAAGGCATATCGTATTTCATTTTTCGAAGTAGCGACGAAGCGCGCGAAGAGTCTCTAAACATAGTCCACATTTATTTTTATTTTTTTATTCAATATATTCTAGTCTGATGTTATTGGCAGTTCTTTTACCGGAAAGGCTCACAAGGTACATATCCGTTGTTTCCACTTGAACAGCTTCCCCGGAAAACCATGTTGCTTTCAAGTCCTGATTGATTTTTATTCTTGCTGGAATTTATGCATTTTGGCGCGCCCAAAGTGGCCCTCTACTTGACGTTACCCAGTCGAATTTCATAGAGCTGCTGCGATGTAACAGCGAAACTTCGCACTGAAGAAGCTGCATGTGAGAAGTACTTTCAATATTGCTGTAGGCAAGTAATTTCACTTCAATTGCCTATTTCTTAGCTGTATTTATTCAGTTCCTGAGCGGAAGGGATTGCAAAGAAGATAAGGTGAAGTGCACTCATTTTAATGAACTTCCAGTGTGACATCTAGTCAGAATGACGCCTTGGGCAGTTGCGGAGGCGCCTGCAAAGCGCCCTGCGACGCCTCTGCCAAAAAAAACAATTGGAGGATTTATGGGAATTTCTGAAGGTCAGAAAATGATCTCGACAGGAACCACTGAGTTATTTGAGGTGATCGCAGTGAGAACCAGGCAGTTTGATTCAGCGTTTTACTTTGTTGAGCGATTTCGAAGTCGATTTACTTTTCGTGGTCAGGCAGGGTAAGCAAGGTCCTGCTGTGTTTCTTCAACGTCGCTGCAATTCCCTCCACCCCCTCTCAACCCCTTCCGCCCGATTCATCTGACATTCAGGCATCTTGAAGAAGTCTATGTTGACTCTCCAAGTTCTCCTATCTTGTAACCTCGGCATGATGTCGAATATTGGGATTATCATTTCCTGCCAAATACGAAGTTAGCTAGATAGAACGCTTGTCATTGAGGTTCTATCTAATAACCTCGTTTTGGGCAGAAATAACTAAATATTCGACAATTCTATGTTGAACTGTTTGTTGCTTAGAAAGTCTGCAACTCAGGAAACCTTGAGGAATAACGCCATGCAGAAAATCGTTCCCTGCCTTCCAAGGAGCCTGACCAATGTAAACGCGATTCGAGCCGCGTTGTTGCTCAGGAAGAAGGCTTGGTCCGTGAATTCTGGATCATTTTGGCTTGCGTGGGGGGGGGGGCAACCAAAGTGTAGTCTGCAAAGGTTGTACACGCCACCTTGTGAGAACCTGTCAATTCTGTTACCAATGTGGTTCACTTGTACTATTTCGTAGCTTAACAAGACTTTACAGGTTAGTTAACAGGATCTATCAAACGGAACTAGCGGGAATAAAAACGCAGTGACTCCCCCCACCCGCCACCCCCCCCCCCTCCCTTTCTTGCCGAACAGCGCCCTTTTCTCTACTGGTCAGTGAGCAACCAACGAGCTGATTCCTACCCTCCTGTTCTTTGTTCTCCGCTCTCTTCCCTCACTAGGATAAATAAATGAACAAAATTATTTAAATAAATTATAACTAGTGTTAGTTGCCCCTACCGTAGATCCCTCACACTTCAAAGTCTCTGCACTCTGCCATGAAATCACATGAGGTACGCTCCTCTCGAGACACTGTCACCCAAATGTAGCTTGCCCTACCGAATGCTTTCGCCCCAAAGCAATTTTCATTGTAGCGCAAAGACCACTGTCCGGCCGCACAGAAGTCATGGGAGCCCCGCCCGGACTGCCACGCCCCTTTTGAAAAAGAAGGCGCGTACTCTGGCTTTTCGTGGACACCTCAACGGCATTCAAATTGCTTGCGCATAAACCGGCAC